CAGACAATTTACGGAAACATCCCGAAGACTTTAGCGGAGTTTCCGGAGGGTCACCTACGGAAGTACCGCTATCGTCATCGGGAAGTTCCGAATGAGGTTGAGGTAAGTGAGGTAAATGAGGTCTTCGGGAACTTCCGATGTTCTGCGAGCTTCTGTAGGACTACTTTACACGCCTATGCACCGTCACAAAGGCAGTATCCTGGCAAAAATTCGATTTTGAGATTTTGTGCTTATCCGGATCTAAATCGGGCGCTATTCCAGTATCCGTATACTGACATATGCTATCCCGTTGGGATAGCATATGTCAGTCAGCAGTCAACCGGGTGAATTTCTCCGAGTGACTTTCGATGTCCTGGGCGTGGTCGCCTGTCCTTGGATTCATGAACTTGAGTTGATGACTCACGGTGAAGTGAATATAACTCTGTGGCAAGGAAGCAATGCGATTGTAAGCTCGCCAACAATCGCTCACTATTGTGGTGCCAGGTCGGATATACTTAACAATAAGGCGCAAGAGAGTTCGCGCGTCGCGTCGACGGACGAGCTTGAGGAAGGACCTTCCGCGCCTCCTTTCGTAGCCTCCAAAAAGCCATTGGTGTACTCGCACAAACCGGCCACGATTATACTTTCTTTTAGTCACGCAGGTTTCATCGATCTCGACGGTGTGACCGGATCCTCCTAGCATAATGCGGTTCCGTTAGAAGTGCTCGCAACATACTTCCCTAAAGTTTGTTCCCATTGGAAGATGGTGGTATGTCCTATCCCCAGCTCGTGCTCCTTGTCCTTGACCAGTAGCGAAGATCTTAGCCATAGGCTGACTGCACGTCGAGAAGAACGATCCATGCGTCACGCTGACGCTCGGCTTGGTGTTCCCTGTAGGTCCGCAGCGGCAATCCCTTCGGTGGCAGAACCAACGCTTTCGAGGCAGGTTAATGGTCATTGGTCGTTGGAAATCCGCAGGTAGAACACCTGGGCGTGGTTAGGAGTCCTACTCTTCGTAGCCAATCCTCGAAGGCGTCGTCGCTCATTCTCAGCTTGTCGAATACTTCGGCAAGCGTGAAGTCCCTCAATTCTTCCCCAAGACGACGGAGCGCCATCGCATGGAAAACCGCCATAGCTATCGATTGATATGGCAGTGGCGTGGAAATCAGATAGCCTTAGGTTAATGCTCCGTAGGGTGCGCGGTTCGCATTATGTACGTCAAGCTTAAAAGAATGCCAAGTTCTGATTCAACTAACAAATGGTTGAATGAACACCAACATCATCCTTTTACTAATTACAACGTAATGCTCGCAATCGGAAGGCCGAGTAACCCCTTTCAAACGCCCTTCCAGCGAGTTTGCAGGTCTTGACCTCATACAATAGTTTCATGCAACTTTATAACAGTCATTGTGACAAGAGACTATCGTGTTCGTGATCAGGCTGCTGTATAACCTTCCGACAATATTTATGATTTTTGAATCCAAACCGTACATCTACCGTTACTCCACAACAACGCGTTGTTGCCGTCAGGGAGTCTCTTATTCAGCATCAGCGGGTCAAATAACCCCTGAGCAAATTTCCAGCGAAATTTGTGATTTTGACCCCTTACCGTATACCCATCGTAACCCCAGAAAGTGACGCTACCGTGCAAAACCAATGTGATATTCGGCATCAG